CGGTCCACAGCTGGCTGACGGTCCACAGCTGGCTGACGGTCCACAGCTGGCTGACGGTCCACAGCTGGCCTGTCCTTCAGTAATGAGACGCGCACAGGAACAAAGTCTGAGCTGGACACACGGGGCAGTAACATCACAGCTAATAATGTCAACACTTTTGTGAAAGAACATTAGCAGTGTGGTTTTAATGCTTTCATACAAACCAGTATGGTGTAAGGTCTAAGTGTAGAGCCTCTGCACTGAGCCCCACTGTGGACACGCGGCACATTACCACTGCTGCTTAGGTCCACGTCACAGCCTGTTGGAGTCATTAGTGTCCAGGATCAGACCGTTTTAAGTGGCTGAACCTGGACCATGAAACGGTGGTCTGTGTGGGGACGTTAAAGAAACAACGGCTCGTTGGCAGAACGGCTTGTCCCCTTGTAGACCGGTGCTCCCCCCAGTGGGCCACACCCCACAGTTTGTTCTAGGGTTCCCTGTGTTCATGTGGATGTTACACCGACATTAATGACACTGCTAGCCAGTTAGCTTTTTAAAACGGGCGTAAATATTCCATTCAAACCCTTCAAGTGCTCAATTTCAGTCTCACATTAGTTGAATTATTTGAAAGAGGCGAGACTACAAAAGGTCAGATAACAGACCTGACCTGCCTGTGTTGCAGCAGAAATCTTCCATAGAGTCAGTCTAATCAGATGAAGTCAAAATACACCTTTATGGGTATTGGACACAATGTTGCAGATTATTGGGTAATCATGTAAATTACTGACATATGAGTAATTTGAAGTCTCGTATAGTTATTGATATGTATTATTGATCAATAATGGGTGGTGACTGTAGCTCAGGAGGTAGAGCAGGTCACCTACTGATCGGAAGGTTGGAGGTTCGATCCCAGGCTCCTCCACTCTGCATGCCAAATATCCTTGGGCAAGATACTAACCCCAATTTGCTCTCCGATGTATGAATGTGTGTGAGTACAGAGGTAGTGCTTGTGAGAATGGGAGTGACTGGGTGAATGAGGCATGTTGTATAGAGCGCTTTGAGTACTCCGGGAGAGTATAAGAATCAGCCCATTTACCATCAATAATAGTAATTGTGTACGCGTGCAGGGCGAGCTGTTATCTTCGTCTCTCACTAACAGGAAACTGGTTCACTGTGTTTGGCAGGAGGAGGAGTTCAACTGGCTGCTTAAAGAAGAAGTGCACGCTGTCTTAAAGCAGCTCCAAGATGTTCTCAAGGTAAACGATGAGCTTTCATGTGTTAGAAATTCATTATTACGTGGCTGAAATGATACATGAGCTTTACCCTTTGCTGGTCACACTAAGTCTTTGCCAGGCTGACAGCATCTGGCAGGTCACTATGACAGAGCGCTGCTGTTTTAACTGAAAGGCTGGGCAAACACAAGTGTCCTCAGCACCATAAATACACAGTCCTCTAACAGGACTCCAGAGCAGGAAGAAGCTCTCAGGTCGTTTCAGCACATGAAGAAGTCTCTGCTGTGTTCTTGTCACCAGGAGGCATCCAGACGTTTCTCCATGCCGACACCAGGCTTTGAAAATCAGCTGAAGCAGGAGAACTTCATCCTTGGCAGCTCAACGTAAATGCAGCTCACACTGCCGTACTGTTACCGTGGTAATCATTTGTGACATCACGTTACATGTAGCGCTGTCGGCATTATACGTGATAGGGTCACCTTTCACATCCACTTCCTTCTGTATTTGTTGTCCTGTGATGATTCCAAAGGTAAAAATGTGACTTTTTTCAGCAGCATGGATCAGGTGAAGGGCGTGCTGACTCTGCAGGGGGAGGTGCTGACTCAGGCTGTGAGTGTATGACGTTCTCACCAAGGCTTTCAACGACACTGCTTTAGGCTGAGCATCTTTAATGTTTGACTCTGTCTCAACAGGATATCAACCTGAAGGTTGCAAAGAGCAGCCAAGTGTTGCACTTCCAGTTTAGAGAAGACAAACAGTGGAAACTGCAACAGGTATAGAAAACAGAGCTGCACTTAATACAACACGTAGCTGCTTCTCTGACTTTACAGCTACAGAAGTTTGAGGATGAAACCTTAGAAAACAACGAGTAAGAAGGTAGCTCCTCAGCTCACCACGAAGCAGCTAACGTGCAGGCTGCAGAGGCCGTGCACGACGTGGTGCACACAGAGCGAAGCAGCAATCTCTTACTGTTTGTCAGAGTGCAGCCAGGCTGAGGCAGAGCGATATTAACTACCAATGAAACCAGTCTCACGGCGTTAACGGTCACTGTAACGTTTGTGTGGGCCCTCTGCTAGCACGCGTGTAGTGTGACATCACAGAAGTATTACCTGATGCATCCATGTAACTATAAGACTGTCAGCATGTGTCTGTTCAGAGTTTAATGACAAACGTGAGCAGAACTGTGGTCAGAGGGGCGGGGCCTCTGACCAGGGAGGCCTGACCACATCACAACCAACGAGCTTCTAACATGACTTTGAATTGAATCAACACTTTGCATTAATTATACCAAACACAGTTTGACATTCAGAGCATTATGAAAATATCACTGAGCCCAAAGCAGCCGAGCTGTGTTAATGCTGTGAGCAGGTGTGGGTGGAGGCAGACGCCTCGGTCTACTTTGGAAATGTGACACTGGTCACATGTTGTTCTCATGTTAGGGACATGTTATGCCACGAGCTGAAAACAAAGCAGCAGATTCTTTCACATGTCTGATGCTTGGTAACATCCAGGAGGGGACAGTGGATCCAGTTCTCCTCTCTACATGTTGGTCCCACAGCCAAAGCGTCCGTGATCGGCTGCAAACACTACGTTTGTCTTAATGTCTGAGCTCTGCAGTGATGGAAAGACCACAAGCAGCACATTGTTTGTAGTTAGGAATAATATCTTTGTCATTGTGAGGCCGTGTTTATTTATTGAAGTTCTCTGTACAGACTTTACCAGTTATTCAGGTCCTGCTTTCATTTGCATGATTATGTTGTCAAACAGAAGATTGCTCCTCTCTGTAGTAGCTCATGGAAAAACCAAGCTGTTAAACATGTTCACAGTTAAAGCTTTACTTATTATCCGTATGAGTAGCTGCCCCTGATGACTTACAGGTGACGGTCTGTAAGTCATCAGCTAGTCTATGGCGTTATTTATATGCCACTATTCTGAGCGCACGTAAAAAAGGTTTGCAGGTGTAAGTGTTGCATTTTGAGGAGAAATTTATTTTGAGCGAAGAAAATTCATTCCTGCGTGCAGAAAATATATTTCAGTGTTTGCTGTTATCCACACACACACACACACAACAGCAGCCCCTCTCGCTCGCTCAGTTGTTGCACTTGCGCTTGCTCGCAATGTGTCGCTCGCGCTCTCAACATTTCAAACTCCGCCACTCTGTGTTCCTCCGCCACTGCCTCGTTTGAGTTTTGGACGAAATGGATTCTGGGATATTGCATTTCGTCATTTCGAGCTGATTGGAGACCAAAACAGCCAATCAGATTTTTTTGCATCCAAGTCTGTGATTGGCTGGTTTTGTGGCACAAATATAACGGTGTACAGAAAGAGTTGAGCGCGCACGGGCAGAAATGTTGAGAGCGCGAGCGACACATTGCGAGCAAGCGCAATGCAAAAACTGAGCGAGAGGGGCTGCTGTTGTGTGTGTGTGTGTGTGTGTGTGTGTGTGTGTGTGTGTGTGTGTGTGTGTGTGCTGGTGCGTGCTGTGTGTGTGTGTGTGTGTGTGTGTGTGTGTGTGTGTGTGTGTGTGTGTGTGTGTGTGTGTGTGTGGATAAAGCAAACACTGAAATACATTTTCTGCACGCAGCAATGAATTTTCTTCACTCAAAATAAATTTCTCCTCAAAATGCAACACTTGCACCTGCAAACCTTTTTTACATGCGCTCAATTTTTTTTTTTACGTGCGCTCAGAATAGTGGCACAAAAATAACGCCATACTAGTCTAGCTTTTAAAAGTGAATGCAATGAAGCCGAGAGGTGATGCTGGACAGTTTTCTTCATGAACTTGTGTTAACATATGACCCCACCCTTCACTGGTCCTCGTTTCTGTGGCCCATCAGATCCAAGATGCCAGGAACCACGTGAACCAGGCTCTGCAGCTGCTGAGCAGCCGTGACGAGAGCTACCACTTCAAGTCTGGGGCTGAGGTCAACAAGGTGTGTCCCTGTTAGCACAGAGCTGCCACTCTGCTGGTGCTGCTGATACTAACATCACGTTTGTGTTCATGCTGCAGCTCATGGATGGAGTGATGCTGCAGCTTACACGAGCTCGAAACCGCCTCACTACCCCGGCCTCCATGACGCTGCCTGAGCTGGCTGCCAGCGGTTTGATGGTATGCACGCTGCACTCAGTGATCTTACTGAAGAATAACTGTGTAAAGATGCAGCTTTTAAAGAAAACATGACAGCAAGTTTAGTGAAATCAGGTTCCTCGTGAGAGCAGGGTTTCTCAGGAAGCTGTCCTGCTGTAGGTCAGTGCAGTGTAAACTGTTCCAGCCCTCTGACTCTGGGGGGAGGCTCCCGCTGACAGACGAGGGTGATCTATGGCATCAAAAGCAGTGCTGAAGTGGAACAGTCGCAGTCAGTCATAGTTAGGTCCTGTAAAAAGCCCAGTCTCAGTGCTGGGCTCTGAATCCACAACTGTTCTGTGAAACCAGCGCCCGCAGTCTGGGTTGGCGTTGACTAACCTCGGTCGACACTCACAGGATCAGAGATTAACTTCAGGTAACCTGTAGGAGCTATTTACACCTTTGCTGTCCACACTTTAGACTTGTGTAATGCAGGATATGTTATTAGAGCCACGTGGCAGTAGCCACATCAAATATTACTCGTTAGATCGTTACCCAATGAACCTGCTCGGAGCCCATGCTGCTCTGATGTTAGAGGAGAAAGGTTGGAGAAGCACTCATGGAGGTGGTGTGGGTGGAAATAAACTCCACCAGGGCAGAAATACACCAAAGCAATCTGCAGGTTGTTCCTGGCTCTTGATGATGAATTTTAAAGCAGGACTTGATGAGCTCTGAGTGCTGGCTCAGTCAAGTCACTGCAGAGAAACCCAGCAGAGTAATACTGCTGAAGGTTAAACCTTCCTGTGATGTTTCAGCCTGACTGCCTCACACCGGCCTCTCTTGTTTGATTACCAGAAAATGTTCTCTCCTCCCATACCCGGGGATGTCATGGTCAACTTTTACATCAACTTAAGCAAACTGTGTCTGACTGTGTACCAGCTCCACGTGCTGCCTGCTAACACCACCAAGGTTAGACTCTGTGACACCGTGCACCCGTCTGTGGAGCCGCCCTCTGTCATGTGACCAGTGTTTGTGATCCTTCTCATATCTGCAGAATTTCAAGCCTGCTGGGAGCTCAGTGCTGCACAGCCCTGGAGCGATGTTGTAAGTCCTTCAGTCCTCTGATGAAGCTTAAACATGTTGTAGGAGGTGAAACGTTTACACAAAGAGCCATCAGTGTCATTGCAACTATTCATATACATGCTTATTATTAGAAAACGACATATTTCCATTACCAGATGATGCAGCCTTATTCTGTTGTGTAATATTACTGAAACCTGGCTATAATTAATATTTAAATATGACTGTGGCCAAATGGCCTCTTACTCAACAGCTGGGCTCCTGCCCCATGATGCTGGCTTGGATGGAAACTGATTTACTATCTAGTTACTGGTAACACACAGTAGTGCTAAAGTGTACATGGTGGACAGTATCTAAGCTCTCTTTACATTTTGCTAACACAGTGAGCTCAACAACAACCGGTTTGAGGTGAGCCATGTTCACAAAGTGGAGTGTGTGGTGCCTTGGCTGAGCGACACGCTGGTGTTCTTCACCATATCCCTGCAGCTCTGTCAGCAGCTGAAGGACAAGGTCAGTCCCTCAAACACTCGCACATTATTAATCATGACGTGAGAGACGTGGAGCAGCATTCATTCTGGGAGCACGTGCTGTCTGTTCGGCAGTGTTGGGAAGGTTACTTTTAAAATGAACTGTTACTCTCCACACCAACACCAGCTAGATGTTAAAATCTTCATATAAATGAGTAACAGTAGGGGGACATTAGGTAAGGCTGCACTTTTTGCAGTGATCTCATATAGAAACTATCCCACGTGTATATAAAACAGGTCCGCGGCTCTGAACCGTAGTAAAGGGACCTCTGGCTGATACGTCGGGTTCGTGTCGGGCTCGTAGCTGAAAACTAGCTTTACTTTGTTGTCTGGGTCAAGTTTGCAGTGAGAGACAGAGAGAGGCGTTGAAAGGCTGCTGCAACAGAACTTATTGTTTCAGAGGAAAACACGAACACAGCGTACAGTCGAGTCTTAACAGCTTACTTACAGCTGGGCTCGTCAGGCTCTCTGTTTGGCTGCAGTGGTTATTATTATATTTACATGCTTCCAGCTCCCGTTTCTGCTCCGTGACAGCTCGTACTGTAACACCTGTACTGACTTTTCTGTGCCAGCATGACACAAATGTGACTAAAAATGTTCAAACATGTAAATGAAATATGAACATTTACTCTGAAAACTGAATTAAAAGCTAAAAGTGAAATAAAAACAGAAACTAATTAGAAAATATGAACTTTTAATAACACCACCATTCAGTGTAACGAGGGTTACCCTAACCCCTGACGCTGATGGTTCTGGAGCTTTCATGGGGGGTGGGGGGTCTTTTTGTCATGCTTAAATGTTTCGGATCAAGCATACAAAAGGTCAATTATGATGAAGGGCACGAACACGTCTCCACACCACTGTAACTAACCTGGGGTGGACCGAGACGTTAGCCAGGGTCACGTGACAGCTGTATGAGCAACGTTGGATAACAACGACTTTGGGTTTGTTTCATTTACTTTAGAGAAGCAGCCTGAGTCTTTACTGTGGGAACAGATCAGGATCAAAGAGCTCTGGGTTAAATGATCACAGCACAGTTTGCCTAAACGTGTTTCTACAGTGGCGTGAAGTATTTGACCGTTTGGCAGTTTGTTTCATAAAGTGACCTTTCCTTTTGGTCTAGACAGTTCTTTGTTTTTCACCATTAAATCTGTTACAGTGAGCAGAAAGTGAAAGGAAGTGAAAACTGTTTCATCTTTGACTGAATCCCAGCTGCTTCCTTCCCTGCAGATCTCTGTTTTCTCCAGTTTCTGGAACTACAGACCTTTTTAATCCTGCAGCCCGTCATCCTCCAGGCTCCGCTCGGACTCACACTTAGCACTGTGTTGTAAAGGAAGTGTTCATTATTTTAGCTATTTGAAATGCAGTGTGATGTCAGAGCGCTAAAGCTCCGCCCCCAGTGATGTTACCCCAGATAGCAGACAGTCCCGTCAGTGCGTCTCAGTACTGCCGTGTGGATTCATGTCATTTGGTTCCCTTTAATAGAATTATTTATTACCCACACTCACATTCCTGATTGTGTTTGAGTTGTTTTGTAGAACACTAATTTTGTACTAAAAGTACTTTTCTTGTACTTGTTCTGTCCCAGCATGGTGATCGCTTTCAAAGCTTCCTCATAGTAAAGTCCTGCCCTGGTACTGTGGTACTGTAGTACTGGTACTGTGGTACTGGTACACAGGTGGACACCACAAGCCTGTGACTGTGTAAAATGCTCAGAGTCAAACAGTCTGCTGCCACTAACAGCATCATCTATTCACTCTGCTGCATAGCATTAACCTCACATGCAGCAGCAGTGCTGCGTGACAGTGCCTGTGTGTTACTGTTATGATGCACATGGAAAAGGCAGTTTCAGTGGCTGCCAAGCGCATCATGTTGGAGTGGGAACAGGAGGAGGAATCTGTGATGAAGGTAACAGTTTTCTGTATTTTTGATGGGACCAAGAAGGTAAACAAAGGAGGAAGGTCTTTGCAGAAGCTCCTGTTCTGTTTCTCCTGCCGTAGCACCTTTCTAATCTTCCCACAGGAAACAAACCTGCTCCACAGTACGTGGAGGACAGGGCTCTGCTGGAGGCTGTCATCACTGTACCAGGTCGTTTGGGGTGTAATGAGTGGCAGTTTGGACATAGATGTCAGCTGCTCAGCTCATTTTACCTGTCACTAGCTGATTGGCTGACCTGTGTATGTAGATACTGAGATGCTTCTTCACAGAGCTGAGCTCTAATTGATCCTGTTTCCAGTTTTATAAGGTGCACAATCAACAGAGGAAGTGTTGCTCTAGCTCAGCCTCTTCCTCCGAATTATTTCCCTCATTCAGTATGTGGGTGTGTGGGACACAGTAAGAATCAAACGTTGTTGTAATGGGTGTATATTTACACGTGTCATGGCTCCTCCAGTCTGCTTTGGTTCAGATTGTCGTGCAGTCCGTGCGGCCTGAGCTCAGTACAGATGGCAGCACGTTTGTTTCAGAACAGCAGAAGCTGTAAGAAAACCCGACGAGCAGGATGAGCAGAAACACATTTGTGCAAACTGATGAACACAAACGTGGCTGGAACAGGGCCCTTCATCCCCGACCTCACATTCCCTGTTTGGTACTACATGGATTTATTTAAATAAGCTACCTGTGACATCATCTGTTGCTGTTTGTATTCGCTTCATCTCGTGTTGATTTTCTTTGAACCAAATACTATTGTAGACATGAACAAATGACTTCTTTCCACTAAGTATTAATGTATTTAAAGATGCCTGTCATGTAAAATGTGGAATGTGTGCAATTAAACTTTCGTCCTGATGAACTCTCTCTTTGGTGATCTGAAGATGCATGTAATAAAAAAGTCATCACTGAACTTCATTTGTGTTATTGGAAATGCAGTGCCACATTGTATTTGTCACATTTCAGGTTGTCAGATTTAATATTAGACAAAGATTCATGCAAAATTCATTTTTGTAATGATGTCATACATTAGGGGGGAAAGAGATCCAAACCTACCCGACCCGGTTTGTTTGTTTGTTTGTTTGTGGTAACACCAGCTGCACCTGATTTGCAATCAGAATTCTGAAACATCCATCAGTTTGTTCCATGAAGCTCAAGTTCATGTACTTGGTTATACAGCAGCACAGTGAGATGAAACACCAGGACCTTTACTTCTGAAAGGCTCAAAGACGAACTGATATTGGAGTTGTGCAGTCAAAGTCCAGTTGTGATGCCTTGTCATTGCCAAGAATAAATGCTGAGGGAAGCAACAATGGTTGCTGACTGAAGTAGTCACACTCGAACGTCAAGGAAGGTGGAAGGAAAGCAGATTACGCAGACATGTCAGGTTTCCAGAGGTGAGCAATTTATTTACAGTGAGCTTAATTTAATGTGTAACTTAACAAAACTTCCCCCCAAATCAACTCAATTAACAAAACTCGACATGGCTCTGGTGACACAGCTCGCCTCTGCTGCATCTGGTAGAGACTGGCTTTAAATGGGGCCATCAATTTCCCTCCAATTGCCCAGCCAGTACCACTCAAACTGAGGGATCTAAAGCTCTACACAGATGATCTAAAAACACAAAACCTCTACACACTTTTAACATGCACATTTACACAACTAAATGGCAGTATTAACGAAAGGAAAAACATTCAAGAAATCCCTTTAAACCTTAACACAAACAAAAAGAAGCATCTCTGTGTACAAAGAAACCCCTCCACTTGGTTTGACCTGCTGATGTCATGTGTGACATCAGCAGGACTTTAAAATGAGGAAATGCCAGGTGGGCGTTTCCCCACACCTGACCCTCATGAAGACTGAAAAGACAAAGTATGAACAAATGACTTAATCTGTAACATAATAAAATATAAAGAAACATGTACCTGAGTATTTGTCTTAATTTGCAGAATGTTTGATTTGCCGGCAACAAAACGCTTCCACAAACAAACCCGGGATAGTGAGTGAAGCAATGTTACATGACAAACAGCAAATCATAGCAAATACATAGAAACAGAATAATGTGTACAATGTGCAAAAAAAAAAAGAAAAAAGGTAAACACATGTGGGACAAATGGAGAGCATTGCAACTGCTCCTCCACTTTGTCACACTGACCAGGAAAAAACAAAGCGAGCAACTTGTGTAAATCAAGGTAAAAAAAACTGTTTCCCCTCCTCGTCAACACTGACGAACCATCGAGGTTTGCAGAATGATCTGACCAATGGCTCAGACGGTTCAGAGTCTCTGAGGTCATAGTGCTGCCAGGACTGCCCTTGACCATCAGCACTGTCGGTGTCAGCACTGGAACACGACCATGAGGAAGACCTTGATATAGTTTGGGGCACCATCTTTCTCACTAGAAGAAACAAGACTTGTCATCACTGCAGTCTCAATACTGAGAGATATTGAGATGAGATACTGCAACCACTGGCACTCCCGTATTTCCATATTCTGAGACCGAACTCTATATTGCTCGTTCCCATAGAGCAGGGTTTATCAGAGCTTACCTCCAAAATATGGGGATGGACTGTCTGCAGTCCTCACACTTGCTTCAGATGTTATCAGTCCATTCATTGGACATTATTGGTTGTAATCAGCCCCACAGATAGGAGCCAGGAGAGGCCCTCTACCCCTGCTAATCGCTCAGGTTTGTTATCCATTCACACGACAGCAGTGAGTGAGTTAATGTGGTGTTGATATACCAGCTTTGACATGTAGACGTTATGTTTTCCACTGTCTTTGTGATGCTAGCTTAAAGTTACAGTGAAAGGTTCATGTATACTGTGGTTGGTACGTCTTCGTCCTGGCTGTAGCGTTCTATTGTTTCTATTTCTGTTTTCTCTAACTGTTATTACTGTAATGAGGGTCTAACAAACAATTGATCTAATTGATCTCATTATCATTTATTTATGTACAATTAAGTGCTTCCAACTTCTAGTCACAGTTCATAGGTTGCTCGTAGTTTTTAGCTTCTACTCGTGCTTATTATGGCTTCATTTTGTGCTTATGTCATTGCCTAATTTACACAGTTAAATGGTTCTGTATAAGAAATATTCTTCACAAATCCAGAAAACAAAAGGCTTGGTGATGTCAGACATGACATCATCAGCACTTTAAAAGTCAGGAAATGCTGGCTGTCTCCTACACCTGACCTCCGTTTAGTAGGACGAAGGACGAGCTCAGAGCAAAGTAATAATAGTAAGCTTAACCCTTAAACAAGAAGCAAACATTTAAACCTGAAACATAATAAAACACTAGATACAACAAGATACGACTGTACTGCTTTAATCTGCTGTTTTTTATTTAACTGCAACATAACACTAAAGCATCCCATGTCCCAATTGCCAGTCTTGGTAGCCGGGGTTCGGTCCACGTGGGTGGCTGGCCTCTTAGAGATAGGGTGAGAAGTTCGGCCATTCGGGAGGGGCTCAGAGTAGTAGTATCCTTGGGCAAGATACTAACCCTAAGTTGCTCTTCGATGCATCCATTGGAGTGTGAATGTGGTTAGAAAGCACTATGTATGGAGAAAGTGCTTGTGAGAATGGATGTGATTGGGTGAATGTTGTATGGAGAGTAGAAAAGCGCTAAATAAGAATCAGAGTCTATAACTGCTCACAGACTGGCTGTCAGGAAGCCGTTCGAACGCAAGGAAAACAGAGACACAATGCAGAGCGATGCACAAGACGTAGACTAGAAATTTATTTATTGAGCACTGTTCATAGATTAAAATCACAGTGTTTCACAATAAAACCAAAAATATTAATAAAATATTGACATGAAACAATGAAAACATTAATTAAAGCTTGTTTGTATAGAAATGGTGCCTGAGAGACCGATCCCCACGGGGACCAACAGTAGCCTCGGACACGAAGACCTGAGTGCTCGGGATGAAGCACGAGGTTTCAGGGACAAACTGACCAGAGCTTCACCATGTAGAGCTCAACAAGTTCAAACTGAAATTTTAAAATGAAACCTAAAATTTCCTGGCAACCAATGAAGAGAAGCCAAAGCTGGAGTAATATGTGGCCTCCTATTGGTGCTACAGTGTTCTGTCTGAAGGCTCCAACGCTGATTTGTAGAAACCAGTAAAAAGACCACTGGTGTAATCCAAACGAGAAGAAATAACGGCATGAAGAATCATCCCCGGCTCAGCCTTTGACACCAGCAGCCTGACTTTAGAAATGTTCCTCATGTGATTAAAACACTTCTGAACCAGTTTGGAGACATTGAACTGTCGCTATGACGCCCAAATTTCTGAGACTCGATTGAACGGACGAGTCGAAAACACTGATGCGCTGCTTGATAACTCCAAATGATCATCATCATGTATGGAGGTGATTATGACAGTGAGTATCTTCAACCATCTTTAAAAATGGTAGAGGGATGGTTTGGGCTGCGTGTCAGGCAGTGCTGGTGGGAATCTTGTGAAGGGAAAAAGATGCCATCTAAAAGCATGCAGTGGGAACTATGGAAGAAATTACAAGAAAGCTTGATTAGGAGAGTTCAGGCTGCACTGAACTCTGGTGATATCACCAACTTTCAAGCTTGTTAGAACTGTAGAAACTCAGCTTTCATACTGTATGTCTCTGTGTCAGAGATGTCAATAAATCACTGCGCCTATTTCCATGTTTCCTGTCAAAACATAAAGAAAAGAAGACTTTTGCTCTTTACTCTGCTTTATTTGAAATGAATGGAAGAACAAAACAAAATGCTTCCAGTGGAAGGATGGCTTTGACACTGGGAAAGTATTTATGGTCTGTATCGGGCTTGCCTGTCCATATGGAGCAAAAACAGCTCTGCATCATACACTCAGGCTCCTGACATCTTTCTGCATTAGGAAACCTAATCACAGTTTATAGACAAGTCAGTGTCATTTTAGTGACAGTACCAGGTTGTTTCACAGCAGAAGTCAGCCATGTTTAGGGAAGGTCTCGTCCCTTCAGACCTCCACATCTTTATTTTCAGTACATCCAAATAAATGCAGTAGGACAGTAGTTTATCACTGAAGTCAATCAAAAGCCAACAGATAGTTGGCCTGCTCAAGGAAACCTTACTTTCTGGGTTACGTTTCATGCTGGTACTGTGGAGATCTGACTGTGGACCTATTTCACATATGCAGCCCTTGGACAGTGTCCAGGTACGTTTAAAAAGAGAGTAACAGTGAGACGAAGCCAAAGAACGTGAATATAACAACCCACAAATAGTGTTTAGGTCGTTATATCTTTACAGAACTATTTTTTACTGAAGAAGTACCAAAACCCCGCATACATTTATTCCACCATCGCTGGAAATCTAGTCAGCATGTAGAGGAACCTGTTTGTTTTCTATCAGACTAAATGTGTCTCTGTGTTTATGATACACTGGACGCTTTCTTATGATAAATAATGGATTTCTGTGTCCAACTAAAGACAGACCCTTCACTGATGACGATGACGTAAACAGACAGACGTTCGCAGCGCTATATACTGCCCCCTCATGGTCATCTTACAAGCAGCGTACACTATGGTTTTATATCTTTACAAATATTTTATATTTTTTATTAAGATTTGTATGTTGTGTTGTTGTTTTTTGAAACTATGGACGTAACGTCTGTCAATAAAGATAGATAGATAGATAGATAGATAGATAGATAGATAGATAGATAGATAGATAGATAGATAGATAGATAGATAGATAGATTGCTGACAGCAGCATCTTCAAACATCACCACACATCATACTGAAGTCATTCATGCAGTTTGTAGGAAACAGGCCGCTGTGTTCATTTCACAGGCGGAGGTCACGTGTTTACCTGTACATAGAGTCGCCATTGTTGTTGTTGTTTATTTGTTTGCTGTTTCTACGACGGCGTGCGCACACTGCTGCACTCGGCCT